GGTAGCGGGAGGTGTTGTTAAATGCATGAATAATTTCCTGATATGAAATAGGGGAAAGATTTAACATAAAATCCCACCTTATCTGAAAATAGACAAAAAACATGAAAATGTCATATACCTTTATAAATTTAAATTAGATTAATTAATACTTTGCATTTTAACACGAAGAAACCATTGTAAATTATTCTAAATATTGATAGATTAATTCAATGTTTAATTAATTCACTGTTAATATTAAATGACAGTTATTTTATGAATATCCATAAAGGAAAAAAAAGAAACATATCACATTTTAAAACTATTCAGTGTTATTTCATGAATAAATGGCATTAATATTTACTAGTTTTGAAAACAATATTCAAACTCACATTTCATTTTCATCCATATAAACCCTTTCATTTAAGCGATAACAGTCAGGGAAGAGTTACTTCCCTTACCGGATGTGACGTAAATGGGGGATAAAACTATGCAAGCCGCATAGAATGTTAGCTTATTGAAAAGTTCAATGCGTATATACTGATCGTTCAATTATGATTATAACATGTAAAAAATTACGAATACATACATAAATTCAATATCAAGACAATAGAAAAAATACAAAAACAAAGATTGAGATTAATTCTCGCTACGGAGTGAAACAGTGAAATTTCAAAGTGAATACAGTATACTGTATTTATTAGAACTAGATGTTCTCTAATGCCAGGATAAAAAGATCGTTACTAAATCAAATTTTAATACATTGTATTTTATAAACATCCATACACACTGAAATTGCCTATTGTAAACTCAAGTGGCCATTTTCTAGTTTTCTGTGTTATTTTCATCCATTTAGAAAATTCCGGCGTATTTGTGACAAACAGGAACATAATTAAGATTGTTAATGTCTTTTAATGAATTACTATCAAGTCTTTCTAGTAATAGATACAATAAACAGAATGTGCATTTTGCATATACTTACGCTGCATCCTTTTCTCCATGTATGCCGTATAATAAAAAATATTTCAAATGAACCAAGTGAAGGGATTCATATTCCTAGAAAATGTTCCGGATAGAACGAAAAACCATGTCGGCATGACTTTCATAATTTTAGATTCGACAAACGGACTGAGAAATAAGAGAATTAGATATTATAACTCTATAATTCTTAATAGGTGTTTATAAAAAAAAAATTTTAAAAAGGAATAGAGCCCCTTCCTTTCCAAAGATAAAGAGAAAAAAAACCCCTTAAATTTCTTCACATAATTAAGTCAAACACAAAAATTAGAATTCGGCGTGTGTATATATAAGCGGCACTGGGCCGTAACATATACGATTAAATAGCTATGTAATTGCATATGATTGTTGCTCGTAATAATGATACACAACAGCAAAAAGAGCACTGGCTATTGATACCTCAATCAAGCAGGAGTGCATTTTACTAGTTATCTCAAACATATACATATAGATTTTACGTCACTTTGTTATTTAATCAAATACAAGTATATTATTGCGTCCATTAATTTTCGTTTATGTGATAACATCCTTCAGGGATCTTTGTCGGTCATCGCCTTACTGAATTGATACTCGGGATCCGAGATCCTTAGTCAAAAATATCGGTAAACATAATATAATTCAATATAATATATCGATATTTCTGTGGAACGTGTTTCGCAAGCTTTGTTTTTTTATATATATGTTGATGTTTCTAAAAATATTTGATAAGCAGAGTATTTGGAATTAAAGGTATCAAGTTGAAAATGTATACTTTACCAGCTGAATATATTTGGTGTGTTGTACGATTTTTTGAGAGTGGCAATTTTTTTTGCAGACACAAATAGTTACCTCCATGTACATTAATGAAAAACAAGAATTTTTACATTTTAATGCCTTTACATATTTTTTTTTTTTGAAATTTCATAGTAGTTTATATTGTTGTTATATATATGTCTGTAATGATATCCCATTTATCAATTTGTAACTTAATCGTTTCTGGAGCATTGTTTCACGCGATCTCCCGAGATGACGTCACTCCTAAGGTGTCAGAGAAACCAACCTTGAATACGGGTCTTATATAAAGGGTCGTATACAGTTAACTTGTGTATAGAAATTAACGTCTCAAATTAAATACCACCCTAGAAATTAAAGGCTTTACAAATCTCTACCGGTTAAAAAGCTGACTGGGAGTTACCTTCCTACATTAACGATTCAACTCGTATATAAAGACCATGTTCTACTCATACTATGGATAGTTATTTTTGTATTCCATGTATGACCGTATACATTTAACAAACATTTCGAAATATATACATATTTCAGTGAACTATAGAATAAACCGTATATTAAGATATATGTGTACATAATTCACTTGTATTTAAAGTGTCTTAATAGAGTCAACTAACTATACTATTTAGTGACTAAACACACTTTCGAGTTTGCGGTAACTACTCTTTCAGAATTGAAGCTGCTTATGCTCCCATTTTGTCATTTAATGCAGAGGCATGCTTTGACCAATGTTCATTATGCCTTAGTCCTTATCAACAGTGTAGCTCTAGTAGAATCTCTGAATCCTACTTACCTAGCAACAATTATCTTCGGCCTTCAAGGAAAAAACTTTCATAATAATCTTGTTTTGACTTGAGGATGTGGTATTAGGAGATGGCTGCATCTATGGTTACATTTCCATAAGCAAGCGGTTTAAGGGACACCAAGATTATTATTCACGACATGTCAGATGGATATCCATGTAACATAGGAACCCAATTTGTTATTTACGAGAGATAGTCGGACCGTATTTGTGAAACGAAGAATGTTCTTGTATAACTGTTAAATTGTTTGATTTATTAGATTGTTAGAACATGCGATGTAATATAGACATCAAATATAACCCAACTCAATATTTATTAGAACGGAAGAACCAAATTGTGATTTAGCTAAACGTCTTGTATGGTTGCATAGTATTGATTCCCTTGTTCACCCACTTCCCAAATCCAAGGTAGAAGCGGCACGAAACTTCTCACAGGGCCTCTCATACAGTGGCAATCGCGCGTCAAGACACTTAGAACTTTGAAAAAGGCTATAGATAGTTAGGAAAAGTCTGTTTTAGACAATAGCCTGATTCTCAATAGTTGAAAAAGCAGATTCCAACAAGTTGATTCTAACAGGTGATCGTTGACAGTGTATTGACTTATATCTATCATTGAATGTGTGAGAATGAGGATCATTTAATGTTGTTTTTTGAAAGTCCTGTAAGTGAAGGGTAGTCTGATTCTTGAAGAGTGTCAAAGTTCAGGGAAGAATTCTGTCATTAACCACTGTAGTAAAAATGGTTGTTACAAGCGTCACAAAAAAGTTGAAAAACGGGCTTACATCAAAGCTCACTCAAAACTGGGTTGCTCTTTGAATCAGTTGATGACTGAACTATCTACTGCTTATGGGCCTTCTTGTGTGTCTTATGACACAGTTAGGCGATAGAAAGGGAAATTTGAGTCTGGTGTAGAGTTCATCAAACATGTACTAATATCAGGTAGGCCAAAATCTGCATCTCGTAACAAAATCGTCTCCAAAATAAAGGATATCATTGAAGGAGCTGCCAGACATTTACGTTTTCGTGATAATGTACGAATAGGTGATGCATATTCACTAACAACCAAAGAGTCTTCACTTTATTATTGGAGAGACGCACTTGACTCAAGAAACAATTTTTATCTGCTTAGAGGACAGACCACATGGACAAATGTTGATGCCGAATAATTGAGCCAATAAATATGAGCTACGGAGCCGTTAAGGCATGGCCTAATAAAGTCTGCTTCAAATGTTCCAATAATAAAAAAAACAGTTTGCCAATGTCGTCACAGATGCATGAATACTTGCAGGCGGTCCCATTATTTTGAACCCGTCAGAAAAGTCTGAGCAAACAAAATATTGGCCATTAATCACAACAAAACCGCCCAATAATTTTCCAAACGGTCTTTGAGTGCAAAGAAGGTTTTGTATGCAGTTTTTCTCTGGTGAAGGGAGTCGCAATAAAAGTGCCGTGAAAAAGCGCAAAAGGAGTCCTCTTCACTGGGAAGTACTACCAAAGAAGTTAACGTAGTATTGTAAGCATAACTGAAAAAAAAGTATTAAAAAAAGCGACGCCCCTGTCACTGGTTTTAACATAAAACCATGTTCTAACATGATAATTGCCCCGCCTTCATACCTCCGCAATAGTTTCGTTCGGTTTATCCCTCGAAAAGAATAGGAAAAGACGAACCATGTTTATCCCCCAACCCCCCCCGTAATTCCTACCAGACCTTGGACCCATAGTAGAATTTCCATTTATGTCTCCGAAATTTACAAAATTCCTTCACAGTGCCGTGGGCGGAATAGTGCACAAGTTCCCGACAGGCGACTTAGATCTAACCAATTATCACAAGTACACTTATTACGTGCCCAAATCAGTGCACCTGATTGACGCCTTTCAAGTAAGTGTGATTTACATCAGGTATGAAAAATCTCTGACATTTCTAGCACACGAAGAGTACTTCAACACTTTTGAGCTAACTTGAAATTTGAAGTCTACAGATAGAAATAAACAATACATTTCAAACATCCAGCGTAATGACGTCATCCTTAGCATACAACTGCTTCATAAACGCTGACTTCATTTCAAACATACAAGAGAGTATAAATGTTTAGAGGCATCTACTTATAACACACAATACATTCCATTCTAAGACCGTAAGCTTTTTTGGTTTTCTGTGGTTTCTTTTTACTGAAAACTTAATAAAAAAAACCTTTTTCTTTTGTTTAATAATTTCTATATCTTATAGCAGGAGAGTAGGGTGTCTATGTTTAACTCAAAAGCCATTATAACGAAAATACCCCACGCACCGGAAAAGATTATTTATTCCGCATTGCAATAAAAACTACATTCAGTAGATCCTTAGTTTATTGTTAGAATCGAAATCAGCTGGTAACGCACCTGGTTTATCGTACGGCCTTCGTGTCATATATGTACGAACACATCAAACTCCAAACCGATGCTAAAAAGCCGATTAATGGACACAACCGGCTATATCAGACCGATATTATTTACTTAAAGTAACGTATACATTTTTAAATTTATTTATGTATACCTTTCATTATTTTTCCAGATATCAATTCCATTGCACAGGTTATTTGATGACCACAATTATTGAACAACAATCTGAAATTTATGGATCTCTAAGTACCTGGGAAATCTGGACTAATAATGTAGGACTGTTTTGTTTTCTGTAAAGAATAAAACTTTTTTACACTCATTTGCTTACTTGAATGGGCATCCTAAGTATCTGTCATAAACCGTGCTGTGTAGTGTTTCCACTTGGTGCTAGAAGTCGTTGTAATTGTCTATCAAACTGCTAGTATCGAAGTAACCTAAATATAGTAGGTAAATAAATTGTTGTTTTATATTGGGTTTAGCTGAAGCTATCAACCGAAACTACAAATCCGATCTTTCCATCCAAACCCAACAAAATACTCGGTACGGTTACTTAAAAGAAATTAGAATTGTTTGTTACATTAGTCAATGAAAACTATACAGAAACAATCGCTACGCTGAAAAAACACTAACGGTATTAAAACAAGTTAATTTCCCGTTACATCTTACAATAGATACCACCAACAGGTCCTTGACAATATGGCGGGCAATGACAACTTGCCATTGTAAACACAATTCAAAGGATGAAGAACGCTGACAATACCTTTTTGTCTATTATTATCTTCATATAAATTAAATGTAAAACATAGTTATTCTTTATGTTGAATGTAGTGCATCTGCTATATCTGTGTTATCTTTATACATTTGATAGCAGCTGTTTCTTGCGTTATCAAAACATATGGCAAATATGTTCTCAGAGTTATGTAAATATTGGGAAATTTATTTCATGTTTAAATGTTAAATTCTGCTAATGCCGGTGCTAGGGTGCGTGGACAGTGGCTTGCACTTTCCAGTGCCGTCCATGAACAGGCTCAATCAAACCGAGCCTGCAACATTTTCAATTTTGCCGTGTTGGGCTTTTTTTAGGAATTCTGTATATATCTATTTTCTTATGTGGTGAAGTTTCAGACTTATGCACTTTTTCTGCCAGAATGAGACACGAGTAAAACATCTAACAAAACATTCAATCAAAGGTTGTAAGGATTCATATCATTAGTCCTCATCATCGATATTATTATATACAAATATCTGTAGTTTTGTTTTTCACAATTAAATTAACATTTCTTTATTTTCCTGTACATCCTCTACATTAAAGGACACAACCTACGCAACAATTTTCTAATTCTTTTTCATCTACATTGTTTGATATTTGAGAAATCTGTCTCAAGTTTAACCAGAACTCGAATTGCCACTTTCTGCAAATCACTTAAATCATAAATATATGACAATGATCTGTTCCATACAGGCGGTTATTTAAAAAAAAAACCGCTAATGATTAAATAAGAAAACGCCGAATACTAACACAAACGACTTTAAAACCTTACCACCAGAATCAGACACGACAATTTGCAGTTTTTTTCCATTGCTTGAAATTGACTGTTGATATATGTTTAAACTTATGGTATAAATTAGATTCCATTGAGATGCTTACAATTTGTCTATATGCAACACTAATTTGCATTTAAAAAATATGTGTGAATGAATAAAAAAGGCCCGTGCAATAGATTAGTAAGTCGTGCATTCGAGGACCCTTTAAGAAATGATAGGGTCTAAAAAGGAATGTATGAACAATTTACGTTAATATGTGATGTTTTATGAAGAATCAAATCGCTGCACTAACGAATTTAAACCGTGATTATTGCTGTCATAAAATTATTTTACAATTCCGATATCACCAGGAATCAATCATTCTTGTGAAATTAAGTCAATATCCTCCATTTGAATTAGAAGGAGGGGTTAATTAAAGAAATTTTGGGTATCAACGAAGAATGGATACAATGTCTTTAAACAACCCTTTTTCTTTTTGTTTTTTTTTTTAAGTTTTTTTTTTTTTGTTTTTAAGTGAAAAAGGGGAAATGTTAAAATAGATAATAATTTAACCTCTAAAAATTGATCAAATAACGTTACCTTTAGTGAAGTTGTTCCTATAGGTGTATCACATATAAACACTTTAAACTTCAGCGACACCTGACTACATTTACCTCTTTGTGGAGCATACACCTTGTTTTTCCATATGCAGACGACGACTTTATGTAACAGCTGCATGTGTACTAATTCAATAAAATCTATATTGTATTCAACATTGTTTATTGTTTTTATGTCATTGCAACGTTTACCTATTGTTTACATCATTTCGTAGGCTTGTATCATTGCTTTTTTCAATATCGTTTGCACTAATTTGATATATACATTGGGTAAAACTGACTAGTGTTATATTGTGGCGATTAATCATTTGACAATAAAATAATGAAGTTTTATACACAAGTTATTGGTCTAGACCTACATCAAATGAAACTTTTATCTCGAGAAATTATTTTCAGTCCCGTCATGTCAAAAAGCCTTAGTGAAGTCCCTTTAACATTAATTTCGTTTCTAAAACAATGGTCTAAATTTTGTTTTTACTCAGATGTTGTTTGTCTGGATGGATTCATAATTACCATATTTGATCAAATTAATGCGTTGAAGGTTCAGTTTATGTGGATACAAGTTGTCCAGATGCATGGGTAGCATATGTCGTATAACGGAGAGAGAAATCACAGATGTTTCATACTTTTAATATACAAATACACAAGTGTACAACTCAAGAACCAAATTCGAACTCATCGCTGGGCATTTGAGAATAGTATATATAATGACAGCTTGCAATAATGACAACTTATAATTATATACATGCACGCGTTTTTAGAGTTACATACAGAACTCTCGTTAATCAATTTGACATATTATTACTACACAGCCCAGCCTGCATGTATTTTGCAGTATAATATAATTATATAAATCAATGTCATGTTTTACAGTTCACATTATGAAATAAATATATGCACTTGTAAGATTTTTTTTGTTGTCATTCTATATGAATATAACATGTATGACTAATTAACCTGTGCAATCAACTATACGACACATACAAGGGTTCATGTTATCTGTTTGCACACGACCAGTTGCAAACCTTTACCGAAGCTGAGGTGAGTTCTTTCGTAGTTCACAGTATTCTACTGCTTTAATAAAAGCAAAATTTATACTTTTGGCTTTGTATAAACGGTCAAGTTGCCCAGCGGTTCGGGTTACCTTGTATGCTGGACTTGTTTAAATAGTCAAACTAGTTTACTAGTCTGTGTAAAATCACAAGATTGTTGTTAACATCGTTGTTACTGTTAAAACTACAGGGAGACATTGCCATTTGTAAGATTTATATACAATGAACATAAATATACTTACTGGCTAAGGACAAGATAAGTTTTCCTAGATTATTCACGCAGTGATATGGTGTACGAATTTAACTCTGTTATGAAACCAGTTTTTACAACATCACACCATACAATCGGATAGACTTGAACATACCATATTATACATATAATATGCAAACGACATGTTAACTTTGTCAAAATGTCTACAACAATCATTATGTACGGAAGCTTGTATGTACCCCCGCTATGAAGTACGGAATGAAGTCGTGAAGACATGAAGTTCGTCTCCTCGACTTATAGAACACAACAAGTCGTCAAAATTACGACGACAAGTTTATATATACCATGTCATTTTGACAAAATATATGTCATCATGTCGCAATACGGTATCCCGACTTTCATACGTTAATATATTTGTCGACTAGAAATAACATGGATGTCGACATGACGCTTTACCATGACGCTTTCACAAGTCACCATAATACTAGGACAAGTTAGCATGTTGTTTGCACATGTTATCACGATGATTTGACAAGTTAACATACTGTTTGCACATGTCATTATGAAATTTTGACAAGTTAGCATGGCATTTGCACAAGTCATCATTATACTTGGACAAGTTAACATGTCGATTGCACAAGTCATCATGATACTTGGACAAGTTAACATGTTATATGCACATGTCATAACGATAATTCGACAAGTTAACATGCTGTTTACACATGACATCAGGGAATTTTGACATGATAGCATGGCATTTGCACAAGTTATCATAATACTTTGACAAGTTAACAGTACGTTTTGACATGTCAGCATGATACAAGATAACATGTCATTTGCACAAGTCATCACGATTCTTTGACAAGTTCACAAGTTGTCTTCACAAGTCATCATGGTAATTTGACATGTTAACTTGCTGTCTTCACAAGTCATCATGATACTTTGACAAGTTAGCATGTTGTCTGCACATGTCATCATAATAATTTGACAAGTTAATATGCTGTTTGTACAAGTCAGCATGTTCCTTTGACAAGACATGATGTTAATTGCACATGTTAACATGCTCAAACGACAAAATAATATGATCGTATCACAAGATAACAAAAATATTGATTACATAAGACAGTCACGGCGTTCCATAGAATTACCTGTGATGATCTCTCCAACTTTTACATCCATTTACTTTATCTATTTGTCTTTTATCAGTCTAAACCATGGTTTCATATGTTGTCACGATATTAGCTAGAGTTATAATAAAGTTAGTAACATATAAATGTGGATATTAAGTATGGGTAGTGCACAATATCAACAAATCGCCAGAATTATCAAGTAAAACAGCAACATTTTAAATCTTTTATTTGTGGTTATTTACTGATACAGCTGCAAACAAAAGACAAAAGTGATTCTTTGCGGATATGACCAGAAAGAATGAATGTTCACAACAGAATGAAGCATTTATCATATTACATAAAACACATTTGTAGTATACATAACCTTTGCTTTTATTTTTGAATTGTTTAACCTAGATTTGTTCTAATTGGCTTTTGAACTTTTATTCATATTTTCATGGAAAAGATCTATAAAATGATGCAATTATTGTCTGATGCATACAATAAGATCTATGGACCAACATTAAGTAATATCTGGGTTGTATGTAAACAATGGA